AAAAATTCAAAGAGAGAGGAAGTCCAACAGAGTCAAAGAGGGAATGGAGTCTTCCCGTAGAAGTCACATTTTAGCAAACAAAGAACACATTAAATAAACTTTCTACGCTAAACAAATTTTTTTTAAATTTTGCAAAAAAAAGTCAGTTTGGCATATAATGGGTAAAATAGAATTTACTGACCGTAAAGAACTTGTGGTGCACGTTTAATCCTACTAAAATCCTAACATCTATCACAGAGCACACTACTGAAATATATCAGAAATACACTGGGCTTGATAAATGACCTCTCTGCAGTGAATACTCCCTAGGAAACCTTGAAAAGTTAATTCATTCACTTCCGCTACACTGGTCAATAAAATCTCAGAGTTTACTTCTATCATATAAATTATTTCCTACAGTGCTTAGAAACTTGGAATAGTATCAACTTCACTTCTGTGGGGAAAAAAGGGAAGAGAGAAAAGTAGAAAATGCCTAATGTCTAGGATACAGACTGCTTCAGGTCTTCTGATGATAACATCTCCCTAGGAAATCAAATGGAATGTTCTCTCATGGGGAAGCAGCTAATCCAGCCATGGCCCATCGAAAATGAAATGAGCTCACAGAGAGACTTTGACAGGAAGCTATTAAACATCATATCTCCCAGGAGAAATTATTTCAGAATGCAACGAGTTAAAGGGGCCCCTAAAAGCCTGGATTTCAAGTCAAAGGCTAATTCCACCATAAAGACCATTTTGCATGTTACACGCATATAGGGTGTAACATGCAACATGGTGCCAAGTGCACCACCCCACAGCAGCTGTCAGATTTGAAATTACAGAGATCTATGCATGAATAAACTACAAAGTCTTGTCTGCCACCATGGCAAATGGACTTGTAGTTCTCAATAGAACACAAGTGTGGCGATTACTGCACTTGTAGTCCATAGATACTACCTCCAACTTTCTGAGTCTGTACACTGGTACAGAAAAAGAGCTGGAGGTAGAGTCTGCAGCAGCCTGTGCATTTCACCATCAATCTGGTTACTGTGGTTGCAATGCTTTGAAGGCTCATTTAAAAAAAAAAAAAAATAAATAATAAAAAGCAAATTTTTTTTCTGAATATATATGTTCATTTGCTTGCTTTTTTTTTGTTTTTTTGTTTTAACCACTAGCCTACTGGGCACTTCTACCCCCTTCCTGCCCAGGCCAATTTCCAGCTCTCAGTGCTGTCACACTTTGAATGACAATTGCGCGGTCATGCAACACTGTACCCATATGAAATTTTTTATCATTTTTTTGTGACAGATAGAGCTTTCTTTTGGTGGTATTTAATCACCTTGGAGTTTTTTTTATTTTTTCTTAAACCAAAAAAACCACTGAAAATTTAGAAAAAAAAATGTTTTTTCTTAGTTTTTGTTATAAAATTTTGTAAACAAGTGATTTTTCTCCTTCACTGATGTGCGCTAATGAGGCTGCAGTGATGGGCACTGATAGGCTGCACTGATGGCCACTGAAAGGTGGCACTGGTAGGGGGCACTGATGAGCATTGACAGGCATCACTGATGGGCACTGAAAGGCAGCACTGATACAAGCACTGATATATGGCACTGTTAGGCGGCACTGACTGGCAGCTCAGATGGGCACTGATATGTGGCATTGATGTGCACTGGTATGCACTGATATGTGGCATTGATGTGGCACTGAAAGGCACTGACAGCTGGCATGATGGCCTTTGACAGGTGTGGGGGCTAAACTGATCATCAGGGCACACTGAATTCAGTGCCCTGATGATCAGTGTACATGTCCCCTCTGCAGAAAGCCGATTACCGTCTCTCCTCTCCTCTCGAGCTGTCAGCGTGACAGCTCGAGAGGAAAGGAGAAAAAGAACAGAAGGGAAGAGAGAAAAGTGGAGAAGCTCGAGAGAGAGAAATGCTGATAAATGGCATTTCCGTGTTTGCATGTGATCAGCTGTGATTGGACACAGCTGATCACATGACCGAGCCGACATCTTCGGTTCTTTCCGTGATCGGTGATCCGCTGTGCGTGCTGAGAATGGGAGGACGTCATATGACATCCTCTCAGAACGAGAGAACCACCTTGCGCCCGAAATTGGACTATATGGCGGGTGGTAGAGGTGGTTAAGGCAGTCTTAGCCTTCAAAATATGTGCATCAATAAAAGTGCTGGACTATAGAATAAAGCAAGTTCATTTCTTTGGTTTGCTGCAGATTTGTGCATACAAGCAGATGTAAAGTTACCTGGCTTATGTGTCAACCATGAAACAAAGATGGAAAAAAAAAATATTATATGGCTTATGTTTAGTGTAGTCATTACAGATAAACAAGACTGCATAGGAAATGTTTGCGAGAACATGTTGTAGTAGTGAAGCATGACCTGTTATGAATCCTTGTTGGTTTAGGAATGTTTTTCAGCAAAGCATATCATGGAAAAAAAAAAAAAAAAAAACTTTCTTCTATGCAGCACTGCCCCAGGTCTCTCTACACATGAAGTGACTACATACTTAATTGTAAGTATGTAATGTAATGTAATGACAGTAAATGGCGTGGGACATCAACAGGAGCTTTGCTGTGAAAGGTTACTATACCAACAAGGTCCCTTTAATTTAATTACCAGGCTTCATCATAGCAATCAACTTTTTTATCCACATTAACAATAACAGTTTTTTACAGTTTGGTAAGAAGCCACCTGCAGTGTACTTCAACAGAAGCAATCACCATAAAATCAAATGTGTTTAGCTATACATTGCACTCAGTAACAGTAGCTCAACTATAACTAAATATAGCTTAATAAATGCCTCACACATATACAACACATTTAGGAATTGTTTATATAAGTGTCAAAGTGGAGTGCTCGTTGTGCGAAAACAGCTTTGAAGTGAACCTTTCAAAACAGACAGCCAAAGGTTTCACACAGTCAAGAACCTTGGCATATAGAAGAATATGTATTTTCTCCTTATTCAAAAGGTCTGTTGCCATCTTCATGTTTTTCCTGACCCGCAGCCAAGATATTCTGGCCTCAAGTTAAAGTGTAAAAATAAACATTTACAGAACTTCTGTTACCAATGATCATTGGCTTAATTCACCAAGTTATGCTGCATACTGTATTTGCCACAACAAGTGTTAAAGCCTTGTGGTTTTCACTGGCTGTCCTTGTGGATAACAATGGTCATAATGGTTCAGTAATAATGAATGCGTCTTTTTACTTTTAGTAAGGCACACCAAGGTACAAAATACATGGCAGTCAAAAGGTCAATTTGCTACTTTAGCACACAGCAGTCCCTGTGATGGTACCTAACCTGGGGCTTGATAGTCCAAAAAAAAGGCTAAGGGGCTCAAATGATGGTTTAGAGTAAACAAACGGCACATCAGTATAAATTAGCTCGGTTTGTCAGCAGCCCAGTCTGTTCTAGACGCAAACATAGATCCAGCCACTGTCATCACAATAATTTAAGGATATATAGGAAAAATATGACATCTGCACAACAATACACAACCAGCATTTGTGAAAAGAAGTGTAATGTTTTACAGCCTATTCAGTACAAAGACTACATATTAAATAAATAGTATAGGTCAGGGGTGGGTAAACGTTGACAATCTTACCTGAACAACATGAAAGACCACAGATCACCAGGGGTTCAGTGTATTTCCCCCCCCCCCCATTTATTTTAAGGAATTAACTAGCAACGACTAACTAAATAGTAAGGAAAAATATAACCGAACAAATGCCACTGTAAAAATATAAAACTTAGTCTACCTTGAAAGTAGACAGTGTCAGTCAGTAGGACAGTGGATGGTGGGTTGACCGTGTCAGCAGGGCAGCGGACATTGCCAAGTTGTGTTTTTTTTTTTTTTTTTTTTTTAAATTATGATTTACTCAATTCTTTTAAAAATATTTTTAGAATTTATTTAACTGCCATGTTGGGGGGGGGGGGGGGGGGGTTGGTGAAATATCAGGAGTCTCAACAGACCCACAAATTCTCACTTTTGAGACAGAGAAAGGAGACTGAGGACTCAGTCCTCAACCTCCATCTCTGCAGCTTCAGCTGCACAGAATGAACAAAAATGGCTCTGCACAGTCTCCCTGTTCATTCACAAACAGAAACATAGTAAGAAGTTTACTATGCTTCAGTTATGAACACAGTGAGTGATTGGTACAATTGTTCATTCATAGAAGGGGAAAGTAAATGACATTTCCCAGATCCTTACCCTGCTCTCCATCCTGAAAGGCTACACTGCAGCAGCCAACAGAAGAGGAGATGAGAAGTGAAGCCGTCAGCGCTGTAAGGGGGAAGGTGGGGACCAGGGGAGCACACGGGGGTGCTGGGCAGCAGAAGAAAGGGGAACCAGGGCCGGAGGGCCAGCAGAGGTGACATTTACTGGAACCGATCCCCTGTATTGTCCTCCTGAAACAGCTGAATGCAGGCGGGAGGTAGTGGAGAAGCTACTTTTCAGCTGCTACAGAGGGAAAATAAAAAAGATCGGTTCCAGTAAATACTGCCCCTGCTTCTGTTTAGGTTGCGGGGATCAGCAAGGAACTGACACGATCTCCTGTCACCTGCCCACAATCAACGGGTTGTCAACTCCTAGTGTAGGTTATCTAAAATACAAGGTACAGCCGAATGTTTAAAAAGGCAGACATATACTGAAATAACAATACTTAGCAACTTCGGCAACTAAGAAGCAAGAAACAGCAATTTTGTGTTAGTTTTTAAAATAGGACTGCAGGCCACCTTTAGAGATGAATAAGTGATTATCTCCAGGTGATTTATCCTATTTTATCAGAAACCATGTAATCAATGCTCCAGCAACGCTCACATAATTATTCTGCCACAGTCATCCTGTTGTCCCATTTATTTTTATTGAGGCAAGCTGCTTACAGCTTGACAATTTATGTTTAGTTTCATTTAAAACAAATAGGATGTCTGAATAACTGGAGGTTATAATCTCAGTAAAGGTCTTGTTTAATATATGTACTTAGATTCAAATATTTTAAAATACAGACCTGTGAATCCATGTTTCTGGACTTTTAGGAAACTTAGTCAATGCCAGTTTTCCCAACTGCAAATCTTTGACAGGGTTTAAGACTCCAGACTGAATTAGTTCTTTCCTGTTGAGAGAAAGGCAACACTCATTTGAGTAAAAAGCGTAGTTACAGTGCCAAGACGTTTATTATAGACCTTGAAAAACAGGAAAAGCTAGCTTATTCCGTGTTATCAAGCGATTTTTATTATAGAAAAGTTATTAAAAAAAAGGCACCATTAGCAAACCAAGGACTGACAATTAGCAAGTCCTAAAAATAAAGACGCTGCATGAAAAATAGCAAGTAATGACTAGCTGCCATATCAGCAGCATTTGTGGCATCTTTTCACATATTTCCAATAAAATCAAATATATTCACATGGGAGTAATCTGCCAGTACACACTATTATCCTGTTGTCAGTCAGCCAGTTCTCTTTCTGACTGCGCTGCTTCATTAGCTCGGCAGACCATATTGAAAAGAAAAAAATGATCCGTTACCAAGCGCAATTTGTAGATAAATTATTCTATAAAAATCCATAAGAATTTTAGAGAAACAGCAACCTTTTTGTTCTAAACATTTATTTTCCTTTCAAAAGAACTTTTTCTCAATGGCTGGCATATGTAGGATCCCTTATTTCTCATATGCTGTACCTGCTACTGACACAAGCCAAGACATTAAACTGGTCAGTAGGCTGCAGCCAGTTCAAAAGTGATACGCACACAATTATGGCAAGTGTAGATAACCTGCAGCTTGACTGCAACACAGCAACCATATTGTTTGTATATAATTATAGGGATAAACTGTATACATATATACATTCAGTCTGGAATACAACACTAGATCCAAGGACATACATTAACCCCTTAACGCTGCACCTTCTGGCCCTTTAAGGCGTTTTGGATGATGGGAGGCGGGGTTTTTAGATCATATGATCGCCGCACTCTGTTTACATTTGTGTACGCAAATATTCAGCATCTCGGCATGAAGGCCCACTCCTGACTGTAGTCGCAAAAAAACCCCCAAACATCAAACCTTCATACTTACCTCCATGTTGCAGCATCGGTGTCCAGATGCATCTGTCCCACACCGGCTCCAAGAATGAACAATCACATGATCGCTGATCACTCAATTCTTGGTCTGCTCTGAGCGAAGAGCAGTGATCGTCAGTTCCTGCTCTCTGCTCTGCATCGGGCTTGGGAGAGGGTGGGAGCAGCCGTGTGTTGAAAGGCAGAGCCAGCTGTCAGCTCTGCTCGTTAGCTGATAGCAGAAAATAGCCTGCTATCAGCTAACTCTGGGTCACAGCAGAACAAAAGTAAGTGTACTTCCATTCACCCAAAAGGAGAAGTATGGCTAAAACGTTTAGGACATACTTCTCTTTTCAAGTAGATGTAAACTCAGCTAAATAATATTTATTTTGCTAAAGCGCTGTATAGACCTAACAACTGCCATTTTTTTTATTAAATACTTGCTTTATCTTATCACCTTTGTTGCATCCAGTGGTGCCAATCTGCAGCCATTTGCTGTCTATATGCGTGCTTTTTTTTTTTTAGCAGGTTTCCTGAGGGTAACAGTAGACCATGTGAATGTAATGTGTGTTGAAACAGCCACTTGTGGTCACCATTGAGAGACCATTTGACAGGGTGACAATGCTGCCGGCACTCCTGCCCACCCCCCCAACCCCCTTCACCGCCAAGTGCCTACCATAGCAAGCCACTTGCTATGATGGCACTCGTGCGTGCTTGTTCCCAAACAGCCCCATGCATCCGTAAGACACACAAGAGAGTGTCTCAGCCTTGCCCCCTGCTTCCTCATCACTGGCTGTCACTAAGCCAGTGAGAAAGCTGAAAGAGCCTCGTACATTCACTTGTACATTGCAGGATTGAGACCGGCTCAGGTAAGTATAAGTGGGGGCTGAAGGGAAAGCTTCACTCATACAGTGAATGAAGGTAAAACAACATTCTACCTTTACAACCACTTTAAATAAGAATACTATACCAATTAAAAAAAAAAAATAATATTATTATGGTTGATCTGGTATCTAGTGAGAAAAATTTTCCAACATGACCCTTTCAAACTTTTCACCTGAACAGATCACATCTTGAAAGCAGTATACCAATGAACAAGAAATCAAGTGATCATTCTGAAAACTGGCATTTTTGCACCTCTTTCTTATAATGTGTACTAAGCTTAAAGTGGTACTCCACCCAAAAAGGGAAGTTCTGCTTGTCTGCCCTCCTTTCCCCCGTCTACTGGCCCATTTGGCACTCTTTTTGGGGGTGGTAGGGGGTTGGGAGCGGATATCTGGTTTTGACAGGCACCCGCTCTCACTTCCGGGTCAGATCAATGTGGCGATCTGAGCTGGAAATTCGCCACACATACACGTACATCCTAACTACTGCAGCCTTCTGGAACACTTCACAGGTCCCAGAAGGCTGCGGCCCATTCACAAAGCGCAGTGCACCCAAAGCCAATTTAAGAATTGGCTCAGGTGAGGACATCACTAGAACCTTGGGAAGGGGAAGTGTCCTTATATTAAAAGTCAGCAGCTACAGTATTTGTAGCTGCTGACTCAACTTTTTTTTTGGGGGGGGGGGGGGTTGGGTTGAGCCCAGGGCGGAACACTGCACCTGAGCAACAGAAACTAAAGACACCATTTAATTTTTTTAATCCAAAGCAAATCGTCCATCCATTCATGTATCCGTGCTTTACTTTGCTGAGAAATCACTTTGAAAAACACCCCCTAGCATTTCTGGCTGTGGCCATCTTGAGTAAGGGCAGATGATTCTTGCAGCGTAAGGATTAAAAACAGTCAAAGTTGAAGTTCAGTTCTCTTTTAAAGGTAAGAATGCAAAATAGACAAACTACAAGCAAAGTCTAAAGGTTCACCACTTTTCCAAGAAATAATGCAAGTCAGTCAATACTACTAGAACTATTGAGGTAGACACTACTAATAATATAGGAAAATGTTTGGCTAAAAAAAAAGCTTGGAGTCCCATAAGATTATCTGCCAGCATTCTGTCAATGAGTAATCTGGAGTGACATATGTGTACCCAAGTTCTCTCTAATAGAAAGAATAAAACGGATGTGATATTTATACTGGGTCACCAGTGTTCTATGAATTGTAAACAAACAATTTAACAAGTGTATATATATACAGTATATTGAAGAATAGTAGAAGAAAGGGTGCAAGTTCCAAGTGTAGCACATACCTTACATTCCAGGCTGTGGTGAAATCTGGATTTAGAAGCAGTAGTGTGCATGTTACGTCAATCAGCTCTACAAGACAGAAAAGTAAAACACTACATCACTAATCAGTATATCTGACATGTATAAATTTGTAAATGCCTAATCATGTACTGTAGATGCATACCAATTAATCAAACATAATACAAAAGGTCATATGCCACTTTTCTTTTAATCAACACCTAAACTGTTACCAACACAGCAGGAGGATGCAGTTCTAAAGGGAAACTGATCTTGCAATTAGTAGTAGTCGGTAACTGTAAATCAATAGAGCTATATAGTTCCATGTCAGTGCCGGTTTCACATATATGTGGACTGGATGAGATTTTAACTGTGAAAAAAACATTGCTTCCTATGGTGCCTATTCAGATATGTCCAGTATGCTGGCGGTACGAATTCAGTGCAGTTTGAAAAAAAAAAAAAAAAGTAATGTACATTTTCTGAGCAGTGCAGTCTGGTTCAGGTGCGGATTACAGGCTATTGACTTCTATGGGGACCATTTCTAAACCACTAATGTGTGAACAGGGTAATCCTGAAAGCTAATCCTGTCCTGAACCTGATGTAAACCTGGCATGAATTTACTGAACTACTGTATCAATTAGCTGTGAAACCTGAGCTTCAATCCTCACCGCACATGTGTGAATCAGCTTTTACTCTACAACCAGCGGCATTTGCTCAGCGACTAAAAGTAAGCACATACATACCTGAAGACGACCTGCAAATAATTACTAGTCTACCCGGTGAGGACTTCTGTACTCCAATCAGGTCATTGGATCCATCTGTAGACATGTATTCTGGGTACATAATTTTGCAGGACCAGCAATCCCAATTCCCCCAATTTTGCAAGCCTCATCTTTATGAACGTTTTATTTATACCCTTTTGTAGACTGGACGTGTTGCTCAGAATTGAGATTCCTCAGCACACAATAAGTTGAAGGGACAGCTGAGGCACACAGTCTTTACCAATGTAGCTGTAACTATACAAGTTTTGCATATGTTTTGGGTATGTCCCAAGCTCAGTCCCTTTTGGTCCGATGTTTTTCAACTGATTAATCTTCGATTGCAAATGTCTACTGTTCCACCTGAACTGGCCTTGCTTAGAACTCATACAGGGTACAAAATGATCTCACCAAATGAAACTGTTGACATTTTATTATATTATGCTATGAAATACTGTATATACGGTTGAAGTGGACCTCAGTATACCCTCCAGCAGTATCATCCTGGGGGAACACGATTGATGCTGCTTTTCCTTTTTACAAGCTTACCATGGAAATGTGACAAGGTGTAGCTCCTCTGGATGTCATGGTAGCAGGGTTTGTGTTTGAGACTGCTTCTGAATGCTGGGCTCTACGTCCTTGGGTGAAGAAATGGGGGGACCCTTCCTGACTACCCAATGTTAGAGGGATTTGTTTCTTCCAAAGCAAATACACCTTTGCACACTGGTACTGACTAGTATTCCAGTATTTCTCTTCTCTCTCAGTTTTTCTCCATAACGGAGATAATGTGACACCAGTACTGACGGAAAGGAGCAGGGGAGGGTCAAACAAAGCTGCTGTGCAGGCAACCAACATCCTCCTCATCAACGGATGATGTCATTGGTTATGTGCCAGGACCTAGAAGGTTGTAATGGTGCACAATGGAAACCTGTGGCATTGTGAAATTAAAAGGTTTACTCCACCCGCTTGTATACAATTTTTTAGACATTTTGCCAAGGCATCCCTGAAAAAACCTCAAGGCATCCTGGTTGAAAAAGCTGCCATAACCCAGCTTTGTTTCCTTTTCTCTGAGCTAGGTGTACGTTTCAAATAATAATATACACCAGAGCATAGCTTTGAAAAACTGATCATCCATCATAAGGAGACGTCTCTTGAGAGGTGAGCTTAAACAAGAATCTGTTTTACTTTTTTCTAAAGCCTCTCATTTCTACCCAACTATATCTTTCCGGTGACTGCTGCTGGAGCAGAAGATCAATAGTTTCTAATCGCATAGTCAACTTTATGTTTATTGGTCCTTCCAGCTGGTCAGAACCAAAAACAAATACAATTCCAGAAACAGTTGGCAGTTCTTGATGATAAGTTGTATAGACTGTACATGGATTCATTTCACAAAGTTATTGAAGGAACAAAAATAAAAAAAAAAACAAAAAAAAAAAAAACACAATAATTACATATACAACAAACCAGTACACTAAACACTTCAGTAAAATCCGCTACTGGTAAATTGACTTTTGCAGAAACTAAACTGTGCTGTGCTATTAGGCCTGTGTAGACAACTTTGGGCTTGTGTTGATGACATCATTGTGAGACACTTCTGAGATCATTCAGAACACACTGAAGGTGCCTTTGACCTGCAGTTGATCTCCTAACCCGCATTTGACCTACCTAAAGCAGGGTTTTGCATTCCCATAGACTTATATGGGAATACAAAACTCATTTGAAGTAAACTAGAGCCAGTCGTCACAGGCCCTTAAAGTGTCCATGCACCCTATTCTACAATAATAAGTATTGTTACCATACCACACAACTAGCATTTTAAAAAAGGAGGTCCACAAAGGCAGCCTGCTTGAATTACTTTGTAACAGGTTGACTGGTGATTATTCGGCCAACAGACCTAAATACAAGATGTAGTTACCAATGCTTGCAGTTGCAGATATAACACTAAATTCTATTACACTTGCATTGAAACAGAGAGGTAGGGGAGCATTTTCTACAGCTCTCCCACCACCAAATGCAGTCACAGTTTAATGGTGACCTGACAGCCCTGTAAACACAGGGATGGTTGTGTCACTTTACAGGGACAAGAAAAAAAAAAAACCCCCCAAAAAACAAACAAACACCCTGGGGCCTGTACTGATACGTAACCTGACCAATTCAAATGAATAGAGCTGCCTCTGAAAGCCAACCAAAAGTCCAAAAATAAATAAATAAAAAAAAAAAAAAAAGGGAAGAAAACACCACATACGCACGCACTAAAAACAGGCATTCGGGAGGTGATATTGTATCTCCAATGCCTGTCAGCAGCTGCCACAAGTGTAAAGGGACCCAAAAAGGAGTGTTAGCCTAAGGTAGCTCTATTAAATTAGACGTAACAAAAATGAAGACCATCCATCAATAAGACTGTACTGATATTTTAGACTGATACGTGTTAGAAATGACCAGGCAGTACAAAACAGGTGTACTTCTCTACACATGCTGTAATGAACTAGGAGTGCAGAGAGAGAGAACACAGAGGCAGATCACACAAAACAACTTGCGGGCGTTTATTGGGGTACGGAAAGACAACCGGGGTACATGACACAGTACAACAAAAAAGTCCACCGGGTGGTAATGTATCTCCCCAGATAGTCCACATAGGGTGTAGGCCAGATGAAGCAGGGAGCTAGGTCAGTACACAGGGCAAAGGAGAGGGTTAAGTGCAGTGCACAGTTCCAATTGTGGGGAGCCTGGGGTAGAGAGCTGGGGGACCCATAGCAGAGGCAGGAGTCTTCCTTGATCCTGGTAAGGGAGTGGGCTTTGGGGGTCTGGCTGCAGCACAGAGCCTCACAGAACAGCAGCTGAGCAAAGGGACAGCAAGCAGGGGAACTTCTGTCCGGGCCCTGCTCTGGCATTTTATTTCCTCTGAGGCGGTGTGTTCCCATTGTCCAGGTAACCCGAGACTAGGCATCGGGTAACCCTAACATTAGGCCTCGCCCCTTCCACAAACAGGGAAAGCGGGACCACGCTGTGCCTGTGGAGACTGGAGAAGGGAAGGTGCGCAGCGCCAGGAGGGTGGCCTGCATGTAGTGAATCCACATGCAGGCAGAGCAGGGGGGGGGCGACTGCCCGACGCTCAGTCGGGGAGAACAGGACACAGCCACAGTGAAGGCAGTCCTTCCAGCAGCAGTGGCATTGTGGTGAACTGGGGGGTTAGTAACAGTGTGTGAAACACTGAGGGCTAATTCACACAGAATGGACAGCTGCTGGAGAGGTAAACCACAGCGGCTTCCTCTCTGACCACTGTCCGTTCCAGCTGCAGTAGGGGGCGGTGTGAGATTCTACACATTACACAGCTCCCTTATTTACCTGTACACTTCATTAATGTCACTGTACAGCAACTCAATGTGCTAGGGTTGCTGGTTCGAATCCCAACCCCAGCACCACCTGCCTGGAGTTTGCATGTTCTCCCTGTGACTGCGTGGGTTTCCTCTGGGTACTCCGGTTTCCTCCCACACTCCAAAGACATGCTGGTAGGTTAATTGGCTCCTGTCTAAATTGGCCCTAGTATGTATATATGTATGAATGTGAGTTAGGGACTTTAGATTGTATGCCCCTTGAGGGTTAGGGACTGATGTGAATGTACAATATATGTATGTAAAGAGCTGCGTAAATTGACAGCGCTATACAAGTACCTGAAATAAATGTGCTGCACTTCTGTATAGTGACATGCGATCCTGTATGGTGCGTTTTGATAAAATGCAGCATGTCAGCATTTTAACCGCACCTGAACAGTGAACCGAGCACACAGAAAACAAATGTTTTCAGTGCATCCTTGCAGTGACTGGCGTTCTACAATATAGTAAAATGCTGGTCACCGCACATAGTGTAACTCCAGCTGAAAGGGCAACTACACTAAATGGAGAAAAATACATAGTAAATAAAAAAATATATTACATATACAATTGCTACACAAGCCACATTGTACTTATTATTAAAAATTACTCTCCCATTTCAATCTGCAACGTTGCAATTTTCTGTAAAATTCAATACAATATTGCAACCAGGAGACAGACAGACAGACAGACAGACAGACAGACAGACAATCTGTACACTGTTGGTGTAGGAAGCTCCTCCAGAAATATCATTTCCTTCTTGGATGGTTGGCTCACGGATTTTTCCAGACGTCTGTACCAAGATACAAGTGAAGATTTTAGGCGCCCTCTACAACAGAATTTACAATCTGGCTAAGATACTTCTTAAGGGTTAGTGACTTCTAAGTGGATGCAGACACTGAATCTCTTCTAATAACAATCGAGTGCACCAGGTGATTAATAA